AACTTCGGAAATTGTTTTTTTAATTACGCATTAAATTGGTAAATTTCAGTTCAATTTTATTGAACAACAGTAACAGAAAAGAGAACTTGTAACTTTCAGTGGAGCGCTCCATTGGAAGCTGCTGCTGCTGCAGTGCATGCTACTGTTCAATAGTTGTTGCCATCTTCCTTGTCGTGCTTTCTCCAGCGTCGCATTGAATTCAGAAATTCAAAATACATCTCTGCGTTCTGATTGGCCCGCCAGTTCTAGGGCCCGGGACATTGATTGCAGGCAAAAATGATTTTGGCCGCTGGCGGGTGGGGCTAGTTTATGAGGCTACATGTGACTGATGCAGGAGTCGTTCTTACTGACTGACAAACTAAACTGGGTTTAAAAACTCATCAGTCAACATGATGCCTCTGCTAATAAAAATGTCTCGCCTTTTGCGGTTTATCATTAAAATGATCAAGAATAGGAACGTTTCAGTCGTTCCGTTTTTTATTTCAATTTTCCCGTTGTGTCATACTTTTCCTCAGTTATCACTCAACGCAGTTTCAAATTGACTCTTAGTTTATTTGCTGTACTTACTGTTTAAAATTAGGATTTAAATCCTAGTCCATAAGCATCCTGATTCATATTTTCAGCTAAATGTTCACGTTATTTGGCTGCATCTAAAAATATCAAAGATATTTTCATTTTGAACATAGATATGAAATAATACAATAAAACCTACAATAACTTTAATTATATCATTGCACTAGGCCATCAAATAAATTCAGTTTAGTGTGTCAATTAAACTGCCTGTAGTGGCTTTAAAGGTCAAGCAGGTGTCAGTATTCTGTGAAACAGTATCAACGCAGCATCAATACAGTTTGGCGATGTGTCAAAACACTTCATGACGCCTCGTTAACCCATCACTAGGAACAATACAGAGCGGATCAGTTTGAAAGTCAGAGGCACTAGTGTAAAACTTGGTTAACCATGGTGTGTCTTTTTTTCTTGTTCTGCTATTCAAGAAAGACAAAACCTACAGACAATGCATGAAACAACCATGAGTTTAGACGTGAAAAAATTGAAAGTGAATGAGTTGAAGGAGGAGCTCCAGCGCCACGGCCTTGATGCGAAAGGCCTGAGGGGGGACCTGATAGAGAGGCTGAAAGCTGCTCTGGAGGATGAGGCTGGAGAGAGACCACATGAGGAGAACAGCAAAGGTGGGAATAGCCGAAAGAGAACGCACAAGGAGAACACAAGCTATGGTTACCATGACCACCGTGAAGAGAAGAGGTAAGAAAATCAAAGATCAGCAGAGATCACATCAAACTAAAAGAGATGGCAAGATGTTCAAGGCCCGTAATCTGAGACTCTTCTCTGCAGATCTCGTACACCACAACCTCCGGCTGAAGACGAAGAAGAAAACGTAGACGACTCCATAGTAACAATTGATACATGTAGGTTATTTTTCTTTTTAACAGAAAACAATTTTAAGATTTTTTTTATTTAATAATTTTTTTTATTGAAACAGACTGAACTTTTTTCTGTTAATGACATGATGTAGCTTTTCATTTCATCCCTTCAGTATTTTGTAGCTTTGCAGCATTATCTTATTAGTATTTGGCAGGAAATGATGCTCCTTTCACAGAGTATTTTTGCTACAACTATTTTTGAAATAATTTTAACTGTCTTCTCAAGGTTTACTTTAGAGAAGTCTGTTCAATTATGTTTTCAATTGCAGTTTATGAATATTAACTGTTTACCTGTTTCAAAGAATATACAATGAAGGTTTAACAGCTACTGGGTCTGACCTTATAATCGAATTAAAATGAGTTTATGGTGTCGAAAAAAACATTTGCATTACATTTCCTTCTTGTTTTTTCCCCCCAGACAACTGTGATCTGCACTTCAAAGTGTCCAGGGATCGTTACAGTGGTTACCCATTGACCATCGAAGGTTTCGCTTACCTGTGGGCTGGAGCTCGAGCAACTCATGGTGTGACTCAGGGACGTGTTTGTTATGAGATGAAGGTAGGTTACAGTAAAGCAGTTTCAGTTGATCCTGTTTCTGTTTTGACAAAGGAGTGATTTAAATACTGCGTATTCATGCCTAAAGCATGAGGGATGCCATTCAGTCTTTTAAAAATAAATTTATTGATACTTCAGATTGATTTTTGCACACCGGTATATTAATTTAGTTTGAGTTTACAGTCGTGCAGAATTTTTTTGATCGGGCCGACATTCAGCCTGATCGTGCGTCCTTTAATGTACAGGGGGTAAGGAGGGACGACCAGACTCTCACAACCACCTCCAGATCAGATATATTAAGGTCAGGAGAAAATCAAACCTATTTGAAATTCAGTCGGCCTTCGTAAGGTTGCATCAGAGTGTCGGGTCGCACAGTGCGAGAACATGCATCGTGAGCGGTGAGCTTTTAAGCCCTGTAGTTTCATTGTACAGTTGAGCTGTAGCTGCATGCAATGATTGAAAATATCACAGTGTATGCCTGGCTTTAGACAGACGTTTTATGGTCTTTAATATTTCTAATACATTTTCTGAGCTGAAAAGGAGCATAATAATTTTTAACCATAATAACCTTTTCTATTATCTTTGGTGAACGCCTTATTTCATCAATTAGCATGCATTTATTAATGTTTTTTTAATGTTTTTCTCAGATTAATGAAGAGATTCCTGTAAAGCACCTGCCCAGCAGTGATCCTGATCCCCACGTGGTCAGGATTGGATGGTCCCTCAACAACTGCAGCACTCAGCTTGGTGAGAATAGCCACAGTAAACGTAGTTGATGGCTGGATACTTTACTGATGTTTAGCATTTTCACACAAGGTTTGGGTACACTTGAATTATCTGTGCAAGGATTTAACTCTGGCTACATATCAGATCTAAAAATCACCCAAAATAAAGTACTGAAGGAAAATATCGCCAGTTTTAAATAAAACCTAAAGTTTATGCACATTGTAAATGGGTGCAAACATTTCTCAATATCCAATGATAATTATATATATTGAATCGCATCGATGGCTATTGCTGTGAAAATTTTTACTCATAAAAAAGAGGACTAGCGACAACATTGGTAGCAAACATTAGCTAGGCAGTGGGTTAGCTGTTTACTGTCAGCCTGAGCGTGACAGGTGAACGGGTCTGATGGAAGGCGGGGTTTCTCCTTAATGATGATTCAGTTATCGTTTATTTTTCCTCTCTCGTAGGCGAGGAGCCCTTCTCCTTTGGATATGGAGGGACAGGGAAAAAATCCA